GAATCGGTAGTGATGACGCGAAGAAAAGCGGAAGACGAGGAGGAAGAAGAGAGGCATGGAGGGAGGATGTAAAAGGGGGCAGGTGAGTTGGATGACGATTGGGAGAAAGAATGTTTCAACCAGCATGCTTCACCTACTTGTCATACACAACACTAGTGGTGGTTAGCGCTCATCAAAAAATACCAGCTACGCTAATAATCACTAATCAACATTCGCAATATGAGAGATATACAATAATTATCATGTGAGATACACATATCTATGTATGTATACGTAATACTAAAAGGGACGTTTGGTGGGACGTGTGGGGGTTGGTTGGAACATTGAGGACATCGGGGAGAGGGGAGTTGTTGTAGGAGGACCTTTAGTCGGAAGAGAGAGGTGGTGGCTTTCGTCGTGTGATGTGACAGTCTCGAGATTATGACGATGTGTGTATACATGTGTGTCTGTGTACGTGTGTATGTGTGTGTCCTTTGCTACTGAGCAGATTATAGATCGGAGGTATAAAGTACCGACAAGGCGAGGCTCGATCTCTCCGTATCGATGTCTTGCCGTGCGAGAATTACCAAATTGGAACTATTTCCCTTGCCTTCTTTATTACTTTGCCTTGCGTTTCTGTCTGTCTGTCTGTCGTCGACGGTGACGATTTCACACGGCGGAGGAGCGCGCTCATCCGTCGAGCTCGCTCGATGAATGAGCGCTCTCGCAGCCGGCCGGCCAGCTGGCGCGGCTGTAACTCTCGTTGATCCCTCATGGCGCACCGGCGGCACACCGTGACACAGTTTTGCAAAAGCACGCGTCATCTCCGACCGCGCGACGATATATTCGGTAACGCGTCCAAGTGACAACGGTGTGACACTCGACACGAACAGCACATCGCGCGAGACAGGAAGAAACGTCATATGTCACATCGCGCGCGCGCGCGCGCGCGACGTCGCGTCGATCAGCCGTCGGAGAAGAGGCGCGTCGCCGGTGTTCCGCCGTACAGAGGGCTAACTTTACCCCGAGCTCTCCAACCCCCATCGACCCCCCGCCCCTGACTTCGTTCGTTTTTTCTTCTCCCTCCGTTTTTCCTCTCGCAGCGTACACGAGCGACGATATGTCGCACGACGTGGTGCGCGGCACTTATCGCGACAACCGCACGCGGTGGGCTTAGATTACGTCGATCGCGCTAACTAACACGGTCGCCGTGCGATATTACGCAACTCTACGGATCGCGCATTCTCTCTCTCTCTCTCTCTCTCTCTCTCTCTCTCTCTCTCTCTCTCTCTCTCTCATGCGGGTTATTATTCTTATTCACGTGTATCACGTAACGAATTGACATCACATCGCGCGACGGAGGTCTGCTCTCCTCGTCCCGGCGCGATCGCGCCATAACACCGCGAGCCCGTGACTTCGACGTCGGTCTTGCGGTCCCTCTCACGGTTCGCGGTGGCTCCATGATCACTCCCCCGCTATAGATTCGCGAAGTCGCTTACGGCAGCTGTAAGTTTCGTAAAATCGTCACGTCTCAGACGCGGGACGACGCGCGACAGTCGCCGCCGATACGACGTTCCCGGAAGGCCCGCGATGTAACTCCCTCCCTCCCTCCGTACGGCTAAATTTATTGCTGAAATTCCACGAGATTTCTCGCTTCGTCGAGAGCCGAGAGGAGTTCCGCGCGCCTCTCCCTTTCGCCTTTCGTTTTCTACTTGCTGTCATCCTTCAAACAGATCGAACAGATCGCCGGATTTCTCGGCGTGACTCGAGAACGGATGTGCCCGATCGCCGCGACGCGACGGTCCGTCGCCCGGGGCACGCCAGCCCCGGGTTATTGTTGAGGCTTGTTTCGACCCGTATAGAACGTATAGAAACTAGGCGGAATACTCTAAATCGGTCGGGGGCTGCGAGTTGACGAGCGGCGCGTCTCGATCGGCGAGGTCGACTCCCGAAGCCGGGGAACGCCGCCGTCGAGAGATCCGAGCCTCTTTCGGCGGCACGACGCCGATCGCGCCAACGACGGCCCCGAGAATCTCGCATTCTCCCGCCAAGAGACCCTCCCGCGGCGCCGGCCGGTACCGTCGAGCGAGCGTCCACCTTCTCGGTCTGGAGAACCTGGAACAATAATCCGCGCGCTTCCGGAAGGCAACTTCGAAAATAAATACATCGCGGAAGGCTCGGTCGACGGCTCGCCGGTACCGCCGGGGCTCGTGACCTCGCCCGCCAGAACACCCCCGAGAGTGCAGCGTGATGCATCTCTCCCTTTCCCCTCCCTCTCCCCCTCCCTCGCTCATGGGAACGCATCGCTGCGAGAGTTCACCGGAAGAATCGGGCAGTTTTTCCGCCGAAAGCCCGTTTCTCGTCCTCGGCATTCGATTGACTGAAGCTTGAGAGGAAGGACAGGGCGGGAGGGAGGGAGAGATGAGGAAGAGAAAGAGAAAAAGAAAGAGAGAGAGAGAGAGAGAGAGAGAGAGAGAGAGAGAGAGAGAGAGAGAGACAGACAGACAGAGAGAGGTAGATGGGTCCAAGGCGGAGGAGGAACGAGAACAAAGGTGTCGCATCGATGTCGAGGGTGTCGGCGGGGGGAGGGGGGGGCGGCGGCTCGTTAAGTACGCACCCATACTCGAATACTCCACATTGTTGGCATACGGGAAGTACACAAAGTCGGAGAGAATAATAAGTGGAACAAGATATATACCTCTCAGCCGATATTCAGACATTGCTGTCCGTTAGTTCACACGTCGTTATTTCGTCGTCGTCGTCGTCGTCTTCGTCATCGTCATTTCGTTCGTTCGTTCGTTCGTATTGTTCGTTTCTTCTTTGTATATGCATTAAAACGTATGTAGGAAGTTTCTAAGTTTTCCGCCCTTCGTTCTTTTCTTACATGTTGCTTTCCATATCTCGGCTCATTTACCTCGGTTTTCCGCATATAACTTTGCGTTCGCTCCTGCTTTGTATAATGTACGTATAATGTATCCTTAATATGTCATAAATATCACTCGCGAGTTTTGTCATCCTTAAACGTTACGGTGTATGTATATAATTATATATATATATAATCTTCTTCATATATATATATATATACGCATATTACAGTATGTATCACTAAAGTGTATCTCTTGTCGTTTGAATGAATCCGAAATTTCTACTCTCTTTTATCGTCCTTGCGCACCGCACTCGCTCGATCCTTTCGCTCCTAGACACACAACTAACGCACGTTCGTCTCTCGTCCGTACAATCTCTCTCACCCAGACCCTCTCTCGCATCGAGTATATAGATACATTCGTTTTGTGTATTCTAGGATTATCCGTACATCGCGCAATTACGCGCGCAAATTACGCGGCTCACGTGACCATCGTATTATCGTGTAGTAATACTCGTAGTAGTGTAGTTTAAGGTTTGAGTTAATCACTTATTGCTCGAAATTTCTCCCTCACTTCATTCTTTTCTTTTCTTTTTTTCCCCCAAACTCCGCGCTCTCTGCTGCTTCCTACGGCGAGGACGCCCCGCGATCGTTCGTCGCGTCGACGACGAACTCTTTTTCCCACCCCTTCTCCTCACGTTTCTTCATGAGCTTCCGTTTACATTTGATGAGAAATAAAAAGGCGACTGCCGAGGATGTCGCGCAAAGATTCATGAGATCATTTTGGCGATAATTGGCGTTAACACGGGCAACATCGCGCTTAACACACTTACAAGCTACCAACGGAAAGTAGAATAAAAAAATAAAGAAGGCCACGCAGAGTAAGTAAGTTTGTCGAGAATAAAGTTGGTCGCTGCGCGACGATGTCTCTCGACGTATCGACGAATATCCGACTCTCGATACTTAAAATCATGACTCTCAACTAAGAAAGAAACAATCTAACTCTAAATACACGCGTGAGTATCTTATCGAAGCTAAATTTCAAGTTGCGTATAAGTGAAACCCAGTCATATTCAAGTCAAATCTAATAATGTCAGCCTTACGCACTAATCAAGTGGGACACATGTTTCGCAACATCTCCACAAAGAAAAGAAAAGAGAAAAACTTAGAGATCTAACGTAACACTGGAAAAAACGCTAATCTAAACTGTAAACGTAAATCTAAACTGTACTCTATTAATGTACTTTACTCTCTACTAATGTAACTGCTATATAAAAAATAATTTCTAGAAAGACCAAATTCTGCAAGTAATACCGACGGAGGAGAAGACCTACCGCGTATTTACACCTACAGAAAGAGGAAGAGAGAGAGAGAGAGAGAGAGAGAGAGAGAAAGAGAGGGAGAAAGAAAGAGAGAGCTCGGCAAGACAGCGCGCGTGTTCGAAAACACAGCCGCGAAAGTATCAATCGTCGTCGCGGCGAATCGCTCGTCGTCGGGGTGTCCTCTTTATCTCTCTCTCTCTCTCTCGCACTACGTATAAATTAAATATTATCTCATAAATTTTCCGTAACGCACTTAGCCTTACATTCGACTTACGAGTTAAAAATCTAAGTATCCTGCTTGTAAGTTTTACGTGAGCTAACTTCACAGTATTTCCATATGGAACGCAGCCGCAATATATATAATGATGCATTAATATCTCTTAAGTATGTCTCTCTCTCTCTCTCTCTCTCTCTCTCTCTCTCTCTCTCTCTCTCTCTCTCTCTCTCTCTCTCCCTCCCTCTCCCTCTCTATCTCTATATGTATATATGTATGTATGTATGTATGTATATATATATATGCTTATGCATGTACTTATTTGTATATGTATTTATGTATGTCTCTCTCTCTCTCGTTCGCACGCATGCGCCGAGACCGCCGCGGGCCTCCCTCGTTTTCTTATCGTTAAGTTATGTATGTTCGCTTATATATAAATATGTGTATAATATATAATATAATATAATATTATGTATAATGTACATCTCTCTTTCGCGTACATTATATATAATATTATACGGTATACATGTATCACCGCGCTATGTATATATATGTATATACATACATATATATACATACATATATATATATAATATTATATATATATATATATATATGTGTGGTGAATGTGTGCACGAGTACTGGTTTAAGTAAAATGACCGTAATGTCTCTCTGTTTGCTCTCTCTTAGGAGAGCTCGTTAAAACGTTATTAATTATCAACTCTCTCTTTCTCTCCTTCTCTCTCATTAAGAGTCAGCGACGCCGATCGCGTATTATCGCATGGTTAATGCTGTTGTGTAATAGTTTCCTACGCGCAAGCCTTAACAGCTACACGCAATCCCGACGTGCGCGCGCGATTTCACGCCCACGCAGCGGGTTGCTGAAGTCTTATTTAACGCGATGGAGAGCGGAGAAATATTGTCTTCGATTATTTGAAGAAAAATATATGTATGTATGTGTATATATATATATATATGTATATGTATACTATGTAGTATGTATATGTATATGTACGTGTACGTGTATGTTATATGCTACACGTTACAATAACTTATACGCATTATACATAGTTAACACGTATATACAATTATATACGCGTTGCTCCGTATTTGTTGAGCGTAATCTCGCTCACACAATATGCTCGCGATATCGAGAGAGCCTAACCCGACCGCGGATCCCGCGCACGACAGCCGAAGCATAACCGCGGGGATTGTGACCTGTTGCCTCTGGAAAGACGAGAGACGCGAGCTCGCTCGGGAACGACGGGCGGAAGCGTCTGGTCGCGACGCGACGAGGAGGATCGACGGTAAATGATGTCGTCAAGTCGTCGAGTGGTCGTCGTCGTCGTCGTAGTCGTCGTTGTCGTTTGAAATCTAGAAACAACACGAGTCGGAAGGAAACTTTTGAGCCTCGGGGCCGAAAGATCCTTCTCTTCCTTCGACCCCGAGGAGTCACTCTGAAAACCAGAACAAATAAGCGTTTTGGCTGTTTAAAGTGCGATCCCTCTTCTTTCGAGGTCATTTGGCACTTGACGACTCGCGGCCGCGAGTCCTGAGTATTTCCAGTGCTGTTAGTCTGTTTTCGCTACGATTCGCTGCAGTCTTCATCCGAGTTCTTCTTCCTCGAGTCTTCCTCGACACGTCACGCGGCGCTTTCGCTGATCCGACGACCGAGGGGGTCATATACTGAAGGATTGACCTTTACAGCCGCATATTTCTCAACCATCTTGTTTACCTTCCTCTCTCTCTCTCTCTCTCTCTCTCTCTCTCTCTTGCATCAAGTGTCAAGAATCTTGTTATTCTTCTTCGCTTCGAACTAAAGAAGCACAACTCGATGCAGCTATAAAGAGCAAACCTCGCGACGCGATTGCATTGTTGCTGGAGAGAATCAGCACCGCGAAGGTACAGGTGGTAACGAAGGATATGAAGGCAAGGAGCGAGGGAAACGATAGAACTTTGGAACGACGTCATTGTCGTCGTTGTCGATGGTAGCAAGCTCCACGACCGTCTGCCGCTCTTTCTCGCCGCGCTCCCTCTTTTATTGCTTCGTGACCGAGGAAACACGGCCGTGGCTGGGAACGTGGCGAGAAGAAGAGGGCAGCCGCTCAGGCGTATCGCGAAATGAGCACCGCCGCTAATGGATCGCGTTAATTAATCGGTGATTAACGTTGGGTGCGGCGACGTTGGATACGGCGCGCGCGATACCCGCGCACGCGTCTCTCGCACTTTCTCTGTCTACTCCCCCTCCCCCCTCTCTCTCTTTCTCTCTCTCTCTCTCTCTCTCTCTGTTCAAGTACGTGTGATGTGATATATACAGGTATATAGGTGGCGTGTGTATCTGATTCCGATCCTAATGCGTAATACTATTATACGCGTTAATCTAAATAGGAACCAAGGATGTGCTGAAACGCAATAATGACTCGACATAATGAGGGAAAAAATATGAAAAAAAAAAAGAAAAAAAAAACGAAACGAAAAAAACCTAAGGAAAAGAAAAAACAAAAAAGAAACAAAAGCACAAGTCTTGTCGAAAGCAAATCAATCGATGATACACGGTAACATACGACGCGTGTGTACGTGTATACGCTCGGCTGATACGCTGATGCAGTGGTCGTGAATATAAATTAAGTAACGCGTGACAAACAGAGGGGGAATATCCGCAGAACGCAAAAGTTACATGTCGATTACGCTCGATATGTCCATTTAAGGGTGACCCGACTACACATGTCGCGTTCGAATGTGATCACGCCGAATCTCTTGTACCGCCTTTCTTTCCCTCTCTCTCTCTCTCTCTCTCTCTTTCTCTCTTCCTGAAGTACCTTTCTTCCTCCTTCTATCTTCCTTATCCTCTTGGCGCGTTGTCCCCGTTCGTCATCGTGCGCAGAGAATTCCCATTTTCGCGTGTCGCGCGGCTCGTTCCTCTCTTCTCTCCAGTGTCCAAACAATTCCAATTCTCTTACTCTCATAGCTTGCTTTTTATTTCTTTCTTTTCCCGATATTCACGGTACATTCTTCACTTCTTCACTCTCGTCTCACTGATGCGCCCCATCGTGATGATGATCCTACTCGACGACGAAAGTTTATCGGAGTATCCAGTTCCCGCTAGTGAAGGTGGCTCTCCTCGGCGCGACGAGACGGGACGAGACGAATACTAGGTAAAAGGACAGTCGAAAACATCAACGGAGAGGTGTGTCTGCCGCCTTGTCTGAGCTTATCGTCACGTCGTTACGTCGTCCGCGTACGCCGGCACGTCGTTCCCAGCCGGTAGTCCCGTGTGGAATCGACAAACGTGTAATATGTCCTCTTTCGGACATTTCTCTCCAATCCTGCGCGTACGTGTGTGTATATATATATATATATACACACATATATATATACATATACATACATACAAGTCTACGTATGCGTATGCACGACTCCAAAAAGCTCGCGGGTTCACCGGCAGACGCGACGCCCCCTTACTTAAACGTACATCCCCATCCCGTAGACGGAACCCCAGTCGACGCCCTGGAAGCTCGACATATCGACGTTGGTGAGCGAATAGCCCTGGTAAGGATTGCCAGGCGCCGCGGCGGCCGCAGGAGACGCCGCCGCCGCGGCCGCGGCCGCCGCGGCGGCAGCGGGTGGTGCCGGTGCGGGTGTCGGCCCCGCTGCGGCGGCGGCGGCGACCGCCGCCGCCGGTATCGGGTACGGCGCGTATCGATACGCCGAGAGCGCCGGATAACCGCCGGCGAAGAGCTTGCTGTAGCCGGCCACCGCGTTCTGCACCTGCGCCGCCGCCGCCGCGGCCGCGGCCGCTTGCACCTGGGCTTGGGCCTGCGCGGCTACGATCTGCGAGGCCGCCGCGACCGGCAACGGCGGCTGCGGCGCGAGCCGCACACCGAGCGCGCCCAGCACTACCCTCTTGCCGAGGGCGAGCGCCGAAGGCTGCACCGCCTCCTTCGGCTGCGCCTTCTTGCACTCGACCTTCTTGTTCTTGATCGTGTGGAAGTGAATCTCGCAGACCCGGTCCACCACGTCCTCGTTCTCGAACGTGACGAAGCCGAAGCCGCGGTGGCGCTTCGTCTGCTGATCCATCAGCATCACCGTCTCCTCCACCTTGCCGAACTGATTGAAGTAGGCCTTCACCTCGTCGCTGCTGGTGTCCTGGCTGACACCGCCTACGAAGATCTTCTTGGTGCGATTGGCCTGTTTCGCGCGGTTTTTCGGGGTCGCGTGCTTCGGATCGATCTTCTTGCCATCCAGGGTGTGGATGGGACACTTGAGGACTTTGTCGACGCTGCCGGGCTCGGCGAACGTGATGAAGCCGAAACCGCGGCTACGCTGCAACCGAACAATGCCAGAACCGGCACGATGCACATGGACCGTCTCTATCTCCGTTGAACATTTCATTCTCTCTTTCGATTCTTTCTCGCCTGTCTTTTTTTTTTCTATTTCTCTCGTTCTCTTTCTTTTTCATTCTCTCTCTCTCTCTCTCTCTCTCTCTCTCTCTCTCTCTCTCTCGCTCGCTCTCTCTTTCTCTCTCGCTCTTTCTCTCTCTCTCTCTCTCTCTCTCTCTTCCTTTCTCTCTCGCTATCGTTCCCCCTGCTTTTTTTCCTTTCAGTCTCTCTATCGCTCTCACTTTTGCCGCCTCTTTCCGCGCGATCAATGTTCTCCGACGTCCGAGATATATTTTTGTGATAATGCAATCGAGGGATCGACCGTGACTGTGCTCGCCTTCTCGCTCGGTTACAAAAGAACGATCGCTCGGGACCAGTTTTCACGATCAGAGGACACCGACCTCGACGCTTCGAAAACACGCGTCGTAGACGACGCAGAGGGAGCACAGCGGATGAACAACGAACACCGACTTCGATTTTCACCCCCGTTCAGTCGCACGATCGATACGTACACGCGCGACTTCAAGATCGCTTCGTGGTGCGCACGAATTTTCCGGACGATCTCCTCTTTCTCGGTTTTTGCCTTTTATCCATTTCGCTCGAAAGTGTCTTCGCCAGACAGAATATATCACGAAAACTGATCCCTTCGTGTCTTTTCGCTGTCCCTAACATAGCGGTCGCGCGATCCGTCAAGCTAGCTCAGAGTCTCGGAGCCGACTCCGTTCTCGCAAAATCGTTATCCTTTACGCATTAATTATCACAAGAGAATGGAAACCTGCCGTCTTCGTGATTCTCGTAGCTCTTTGTTACGAACGGTTAACTAGTGCTACCAAACTACCATTTGCATGCAAGACTGTCCAAGCCAATGTTTATAAAGACAAACATTCTAATGTTACGTGAAACAAAGACTGCGAATATAAGACTCAAATCCATTACGAACGTTATATATAGGAGAGCTACTGATATATAAATATGTGATATTACGTCTGTTCCCGCCCCCCACGTACACGCGCGACTCTCCGATTCCAACCCGCGGACGGACACTCTCTCTCTCTATGCGCCCGCGTCGTTCGACGCGGGAATCAAGAAAAAAAAAAAAAAAAAAAAAGAGAGAAAAAAGTTGGAAAGAAAAACTGCGCCTCTCCCACCTTCTCTTGATGCGATTAATGCGATTAATACCTAATACAATCTACTTGTTTTGATACTTTATCAGCAAATTAATTACACCGATTAGTACAACTTCTGTTCTACTACGGCCTACTACGTATATAGTTTCGTGCAAAAGTGGAAGGAGAGAATCTGTGGAATATATCGAATCCTGTCGAGGTGAACCTCTCTCTCTTTCGCGGCTTCTTCTTCCTCTCGCGGCCGACCCCGATTTATCTCATGTACGCATATACGTGTGTACATGATGCGTGTGTGCGTGTACACACACACGCACGTGAGTGCGTTCAGGGTCGGCTGAAGGAGAAAAAAAAAGAAAAAAAAAAACGTTACACCGAATCACACGTGACGCGACATGAAATAAACGCGGCTTGGAAACGCGTGGGCAATATATATATATGTATATATTGTATATTATATATGTATATACATGTACGAGGCTGTTCGCGCCGGATAACGCGAGCTTCGCGCGGACGAGATTTCGCCTTCTCCGTTAACCGTCGACAAATCCGTTCGGCTTCCATCTGGTGAATATTTGCAGAAAATCCGCGGCAACGCACCGTTTCTAGGCGCAGCAGTAACCGTACGCATGCAACATTGAGCGATATCGAGCGGATTTCACAACAGGCATTCTGCCGAGAGAAAAAGAGGGAATGAGAGAGAGAGAGAGAGAGAGAGAGAGAGAGAGAGAGAGAGAGAGAGAGGGGGGGAGGGGGAGAAGTATGCAGACTCATTATACGCGTTTCATAATCTGCCCCGACTGATCCGAAAGAGAAACAGGAAGAAACAAAAAAAAATGGAGAGAAGCAGCCAAACGACTCGCCGTGTCCCTCCGCGCGTGCGCGATATTTTTATCCCCCTCGAATGCAATCGACCGCGCGCGGCGCGAATCGACCGGGCGTAGATCGATCCCCGTGCGCAATTTACTCGCTGGCCTCGATCATCGTCGATCATCGGCGACAGCTGGCGAACGAAGCGGCGTGTTGGCGCGCGAACAGCCCCGTACAATGAATAATAACCGTAATTGATCGGACGGAACAAGCCGAGAGTTACACTCAGGTGGTGGACCGACCTGCGTAACCGGATCCTTCATGATGAGGACGTCGGTGACGGTGCCGAACATGCCGAAGTACTCCTTCAGCTTCTCGCTGCTAGTCTGCCAAGAGAGGCCGCCCACGAAGAGCTTCCCCGGTGCCGGGTCGCCGCCGTTGGGTGTACTCCTGCCGGAGCTGCCCGAGTGGCTACCGTTTATCGGCATCAACGTGTTGTGGAAGTCGTGCTCGATCGTGCCGTTCGTCGCCTCCATGCCGGCGCTGCGAACAAATGAGAGAGCGGTCGTTGCTGAGAGAGTGCGAGAGCCAGTCGCGCGCGCGAGTAAGGGTCCGCTCTGGCAATTTACTTCGACGAGCTCGCGCGAAAGAAGAAATATGAGACACGCATGAGGAGAAATGTTTAGCCGGAGGTGAAGCCCGGGTCTCTGGTGAAATATCCACGAATCGACGGCTGCGATTGAAAAAATACCAAGAACTCGATTCAAGCCAAGCAGAAGTCTCGATAATTTGGACCCTGAATGACTTCAGCCAGGATTTCGGAGTCGTTCGTATTTCGCCAGAAAATCGTTTCGTTCGACCAAACATTTTTTCTCGCCGTGGGTATCGCGCAGCACATTGTGTGATAAATTTCAGACGTGTAAAATAAGAATACGTATAACATGATACCACGAAAATATTCGTTGATGAATAAAATGTCCAAGCAAACATTTATACATATTCCATAAAAATATTAAATAATTCGTATATAAAATATAAATGCGATGTGATAAAAAAAAAATACTCGTGATATACGTATGATTTATTTTTGTAAATTTCCGTGTGTACTCGGAATCGATCGTATCGCTCTCCTTCCGAATACATCCTGTCGCGCGTGTGACATGTAAGGAAGCAAAATAAGGACGTATGTTATTTTACACACAGCCCCGTCTGCAAAATGCATGACTCTCTCTTCGATACTTTTCAAGTTTCTGCTGTTCCTTCTGTCTCCTCGGGATCCCTTTGACGCGAGACATAAGATCCTTATGTCCGCCAACTCTGAGACGTGTCTCTCTCAGCGGGATGTCCGAAATATTGAATAAAACTTCAGTACTGTGTCTCGCGACGGCCGTCTCGCTCCGCAGGAGGCCGCGCGTCATTCGAAGCAGCAGATTCGCGATTCGCATACGATGAGGCGAAGAAATCGAATGTAAATATCGAACGTTGCTGACGAAAGCGCGCCGCAGCATTGCGGGGGCGACATTCGTCGCGCGAGTGCGAGCACTATTTTTCCTAGTTCTCGAAAGCGGGCTCGAAATATTCAAGCGTAAAAACGAGGAAAAACAAGCCCGCGTAACTGAATTCTCTCCGCCGGCCGGGGATCAGACGGTAAGGCGTCGGCTGGACGAGGAGCAGTATTCCTGCAGGATGTTCCGCCCGAGCTCTGACGCGACCGAACGTTCGCTCGGACGAGCGAGAATTTCTCGGTTGCGCCAACAGAGATATACGCGACTTTTCGTCCGCTCCTCTTTTATTCAGCCGCACCAACTGAGATATCCTTTTCTCCGCGAGATTTCGCCAGCTCACGACGCGATCACGATCGCAGCTCAGCGCCCGCTCGTTAATAACATCTCACTGATTCGTTAAGCGGGGGTGGGGCGGCGCGTTGTCAGAATTTCGACGAGCGCTGCGACATAATTCTCTACTTATCCGCGTAAACTTATCCCCAGCTGATCGCGCGCGGCGCGTGCATAAACCGCGCGATAACCCGAGCAGAACATCGTCCCACGGCCGTATATTAAAACCCAGTCCGGCTTTCAAACTTCAAATAGGGCCCGGATAACTTTATCGGATCCGGCACGTAATAAGGAGTGAAACGCACTGCTGCATAATGCCCTGATAAAATTGCCTGAAATCGAGAAACCTGGTCAAATGTTCATCAGGACCAGATCAGGCATCCAAATAATGACGTCATCTCGCTGGTCAGGGTACAATCCGGAAAATATTGCAAGACAATTGTCACATCCCGACCGCGGATAAGGACCACTCATAATGCCTTCTTATCGCTTGCCTAGTCATGCCATATCAGGCATAAAAATAATTGCCGTATTTGATTTCTGCTCGGGAAAACCGCGCGGATATCGGCGACGCTACTTGTGTGTTCCTTTGTTCCAGTTGATACCACTCACCGTAGTGCAAGCTTGCGTGATGACCGCCATACCGCTCATGGCCTACCACCGACTGTTCGTCACCATGATCGACGTACAGTGAGTAACCCGCCGCGACTTCGCGCTCTTTCGGGCAAGGCGAGGAAAAAAAATAATGCACGGTAGATTCCATCCTACCCCGCTCTCCCTCTCTTTCTCTCTCTCTCTCTCTCTTTCTCTCGAGGAGGTGTAAAAATAATATGTCATTTCGCAAAACGGCCGCGCGCGTCAGCGCGCGCCCTGAAACTTCGGACGGAAAATAGCGCGGCCGGTCTATTTCTGCGAGCAACATACATTCTATGTATAACGACGCGCGATGTGTTAAGGTCACTGTGTCTGCTCAGGCAACGGCCTTGGCACTGCGCGTTTTGCGTCCGCTTACGCGACGCCAACTTTTACTCCTGCCGTGTTGTGCCGGACCGTCCCTCCCCCGCACGCGCGCGGCCGATTTTATCGCGATGGTAACGAGCGGTCGATTACGGGGGAACGGCAGCAACGTTTCTCGTACGACACGACGGGCCTGCTGCCTCGCCGCCCGGCAGGGAAAGACGAATCCGTCCTCCTTCGGTCGAGGGTGAGACGCGGCGAATGTATGCAGACGTCGTGTTTTGCAGGCTGACCGATTACCAGCGCTTCGAGATCCCGTCGGTGCCGAGATTCTTCGACCTGAGGAACCCACGCTCGCTCAAGGTGAGTCCTCGCCGAGAATTCCCAGGGACTCGCGATAGCCACAGATTTCGAGGATCCCCCCCTTTCCCGCGCCCCGCACGCGTGCTGCGTTCGGAGCGGAATAATTCAGCAAGAGCGATCCGCTCCCGCGTGATTGATAAGTTCCGGTTATCTCGGTGCATTCTGTTTTCTCTCCTCTCTCCCGCCGACAATCCCGGTATTTTTACCCTCCTTAACCCCTCCATTAATTATTTTTACAATTATATCGATTTATCGCGTGCCGCGTTAGCGTTGCCTTGCCTACGTTCTCGTTATATTTGGCGCTGGCTAAATAATTCATATTATGACTGCGTTTCGGCCGATCGGCCGGCCGTATCGCGTTTAAAAACTCGTTATGTCTCACTTCGAGAGAGAGAGAGAGAGAGAGAGAGAGAGAGAGAGAGAGAGAGAAAGCCACTCTTGTTGTAATTTGTAAATTATTTGTTCCACCGTACTTCTGAACCTCGCGCGCCTCGCGGTAATTGAATTTTCGATCGAGCGCAAAACCGGCACCGACGGGCTTTTCTCTCTCTGCCCCCTCCCTCCCTCCCTCCCTCTCTATCTCTCTGCCTCTCGTTTGATTACGCTGATGAACGCGACAGCACGCCAAATACAATGCATCGTATTCGCGTTACTCCCTCGCGCCGCGAGCTAAGGACGGGGGGCGGGGTGGGGCGAGGAGGGAGAACCCACGCGGACGTTCCCGATGAAGCCGAGAACCGCATTCCGCGCGTCGGAAATATCCTCCGCCCGGTCAGAGATCTCACGTCGCAGGCCAGCCGACCAATACCGCTGGTCTCGCCCATCACGCGCATGTGACTCGGGAGATACGGACGGAACTAAGAGAAACTATGGTTGTTCCGTCGTGTATATCTAACTGGAGATATACGTCGTCGGCGCCTTTTCCCCCAGGATCTCCACGCGCGCCGTACATTCACTACCACCACCAGCATCGGCAGCGGCACCATCACCACGGTGGTGGCACCGTGGTACGCTGCGCGCACTCGGGGGTAGTAAGCGAGTGGTGGTGGTAGTGGTGGTGGTGGTGGTAGTGGTGGTGGTGGTGGTGGTGGTGGAGGTAGCGGCGGGGTGTGCCGTAAACGGGGTGGTCAGAGGGGGTGGCAGGAGGTTGCACGTTAGCCCGGTTCGGATATATCGCCGCGAGCGGCATGGTCGACATGCGCGGCGAAGGGCGCCGCGCGGGGCCGGGCGCGGAGGGTGGAAAACGCAGGCCGCTTGGAGCAGGCAGGATGAGGCAGGGTGGCGCGGAAGGTCCTGGCGAGAGAGAAGCGAGGAGAGCCAGGAGGGTCGAAGCGAAACGAGCGAGTCGTTTTAGGTTGGGAGTGGCGCGGCGCGACGCGACGCGGCGAAGGGGTAGCGGCGGCGAGGGATGAAGCGGCGCGAGGTGTGATGCCGCCGCCGCCGCCGCCGCCGCCACCGCCGCCATCGACGACGGTGGGGACGGCGGGCGAGAGAAACGCGCAGCTGGTGGATCAATACACCCCCTCCGCGCGTTCCTTCTCGCCGCCGTTCGCCGCTCGGTCATGTTGGCTACCCCTCGTGAGCGATCTCTTACCTCACTCTCGGAGCAGCGTACGATCGCGACCTCGCGAGGGAAGCGTCTTACGTAGGGACAACGACGGAGGAGGAGGAAGAGGATGATGATGATGATGATGATGATGATGATGATGATGATGATGACGATGACGACGACGTCGTCGGCGATTCTCTTCTTCTTCTTCTTCTTCTTCTTCTTTTTCTTCGTCCTCTTCTTCGCTTGGCCGCTTGCCGCGGTGATTCAGTTTCTTCAGCGGGGTGTCGTGATTATCAAGCCATTCCTCCGTCCCATCCCTTCTGCGCCCTTCAACTCCCCAGCGTGTTCAGTCTGTCGTGCCTTTTTCTCGACGAGGTACGCGCTCTCATTACCGTCGCTCTGTCGGGAAAATCCTGCCGGACTGTGTTCGAGCCGGGCCCGAGGACGAGAAGGTTGCTGTGCAGGTATCGGCGGACGAACGCTGCAACGGAGATGTTTCTCCCGCGAGCGCGATCAAGCCCCGAGAGAGAGAGAGAGAGAGAGGTGTTCGCCCGCCGCCGGTATTTCGAGAGCGCGGTTCTTCCGCGATGGGATTTCGCCCCGATCGGTATTCTCGAATTGACTCTCTGCCGTCGTGCTCGGCACGACGGGGAAATCGATCGATGGAACACATTCCGGGTCGGATTCGGGCGGATTCGTCCGCTCGCTCGCTCGCTCGCACGAGCGGACCGAATCACAGACGCCAGCTGTGTTTTAGCGAGGAAATGCCGCAGGATAAAGCTCGAAGGGAAAGCTCTCTCGCTACCCTCTCTTTCCCTTCCGTCGATTAGACGGGATTCACACCAGGTCATTTTCATCGACGAGTCCACCGCCGTATTGATCGGCCCCGGATTCCTCAATTCTCCACGCTACTACTCGGGGTCTTATCGCGGCCTCGCGAAAATAAGGTCTGTCGGATCCTTCGACGACCACACGGAGTCGAGGCTACGCGTAAAGAGTCCTCGTCGTGCAGATTCGACGCTTGACGATTTTCCCAGTCGAATAACTCTCACGCGCCGCGAGATGGAAATGTCGTCGCGTGAGGCAAAAATTGAAGAAAAAGAGGGGAAAGGGAGAAACGCGTTTGACGCGGCTCCAACGGCCGATTAAGTTAGCGCCGTGTAGCTTGTTAATGGAACGATCGACAAGCTGCATCGTCATCGCGAGAAGAACACCCCATCGCCGCCGCCGCCGCGCGCGCGCGCGAGAGAGAGAGAGAGAGAGAGAGAGAGAGGAAGAGGAAGGGAGGGAGAGAGAGAGAGAGAGAGAGGGGGGGGAGGGAGTACATTGTTTTCTCCGTCTCGTGATATGCGACCGAGCGACCTGGAGCGACCGATCGTTTGCACGCACATTATCGAATTCGCGAATGTCCATAACGCAACGGGATAAGGTATCCTACACCGATGATCTCGATCGTCTTACACATTGCTACGAGCGTGCGTGAAAAAGCGCGCGAGAGAGGAAGACGTACAGACAGAGAGCGAGAGAGCGAGAGAGAGAGAGGGGGGGGAGGGAGAGAGAGACAAAAGAGGGAACGGTGGAACGAGGAGAGGGAGGGGTAACACACACAGAAGAGAGACAGATAGGGGGGTGGTGACCGGCGAGAACGTGTGTAGTTTCAGTATTTTCAGTATCGCTAGACATCCCAGTACCTAGCAGTCTCCGCGTCCGCCCCCAGCAACGTCGAGGGGTTGTACTCGGTCCCCTCTCGGCGCTATTCTCTTCCGCACCCTGTCCCCCCGTATTCCTCCCTCTCCGCACTCACTACCAGCGCACGTACACATACACACACACATGTACCGAGAGGGAGAGGGAGAGAAAGAGAGAGAACATACACATACACACCCACATACAAACACACAGGCGGGCGCATGCGTACGCACACACGCGTACGCCAGACGAGGATCATGTCGAAGACGAAGAGGGTGAGTCTCCCACGGTGGGGAAGGCTCGAAGGTAGGTACAAGAGCCCAGTCCTAGTGGGGGTGGAGAGAGGGTGCGGAGGCGCCGCCGCCACCGAGCGACGCAGTGCCGTCGGGACGCTCGACCGAATGATACGGCCTTCGCAAAGGGGTATTTTTCGCCGACCGCCATATCTCGCTCGTCGGCGACGATCCGCTCGACGGCTACCGCTGCCGCTGCCGCCGCGGCCGCCGCCACTGCCGCCGCCGTCGCCGCCGCCGCCACGGAGCAGCGAGGGTGGCGAGGGAGAATCGAGAGGGAGGCGCGCGCGCTCTGGTAGTAACCCGTTTTTCTCGCCTGCGAGAGGGATTACAGGAGACGACACTGCGGCGGATCGGCCCATCGGCCGGGGATATTGTCCTGTCACAGCAGTACGCCTTTAAAGAGTTACTGGTGTGATGGGACATTGTCCTCGTCCTGGTGGCTCTCACGTCACCACGTCACCACGTCACCACGTCACGCTCATCAGCCACGCTCTCGCGCTTCAGACAGCCAGGACGACGCGTACCTTCCTCGGCGCCGTCGCCGTCGCTCGAGAATACGCCAGCAGCAGCAGCAGCAGCAGCAGCAGCACTAGCAGCAGCAGCGAAATGTGGAAGAGAAAACAGCAGGAGAAAAGTGTGTCCCGCTTGAAGAGCAAAAGTTAGTGTCCGCGCGCGCGCGCTCTCCGTCTCTCCGCGAAGTCGGACGCGTTCCTCGCGATCGAAGGGGCCGACGGAGGGTGAAAGACCCAGTGGGGCGACACGGGCGAGGGATCAACGCGAAGCGCACGTCGCGCGCACCACGACGTTGGATTTATCTCGGTCGACTCGCCTGGCCAGCGGGACTCTGATAGCCCAAGGTGGGAACGCCCGACGTACGTCGACTCGACTGTTGTGCCGCGCGACGACGACGAGCGAGCGCGTTATCGTTCCCGATATCTCTTCTCCGCCGCCAACGTGGATACACCGCGCCATGGCGATGGTGTTTCCAGTCGATAAGGCAGCTTCCGAGAGGCGCGGCTGCTCCGACTCTGACGACTCTGCGGTCGATCCAAGGACTCTCTCTCTCTCTCTCTCTCTCTCTCTCTCCTCTCTCTCTTTCTCTCTGCCTCCTTTCGCTCTCGCCAACCGGACCCGGTTTACTCCGAGCGCGAGCATGACAGCAAAGCTAGCTTGTTCTCGTGCGAACAGTGAAATTCTTCTTCGTCTTCTTCGTCGTCGTCGTAGTCGTCGTCCCCGTTGAATCACGGTGGAACGACGGAGGCGTTCCGTCATCAGGACAAATATTTGCGTTGTGTGCCTACAGAGCCCCGGCAAAATGGCCGTGGCGTCCGTGGATATTCCTGCGCGTTATCGTCGCGCAGTGACCTCTCGGTCTCGTGGAGAGCAGCGATCGCGTGTTATTCGCGTTAATGGGCGGTTGGGAAATGGGGGAAGCAGCCATGGATTCTTCGTCAACGAACGAACGAACGAACGAATGAACGAATGCGAGCGCTGATGGCTCGCGAGCGTCGCGGAATGCCTCGACGACTGTCATCGATTACGGGAGCGCACGAAGGGGCTTGTGTTCCGATCGAAAGTCGGAGCTGGAAGAAGGTCGTAGATTGTAGCACAGTTTCGGTGGAGGTCGCGGATGTGTCTGCTCGTCTCCGCTGTGAGATCGATACTCGTATTATGAAATACGACAGGACTCACGAGAGAGAGACGAATTTCTTTCATCGCGCGGCTGGTGGGCGTCTCGCGCGTGGAGTCTCCGAAGAGAGAGAAAGAGAGAGAGAGAGAGAGAGGAGCGGAGGTGAGAGGGGGGAGAGAGAGGGGGCGGAGGAGGGAGAGACACGAGTCGCAATGTGACTTCAAGGGCTTCGTGTTCGCGGTCGTCGTGTTATATTTCGATTGTTATCTACTTTGCGAAACGTTGAACGGAATAGACGACGTGGAAGCGTACTTGCTGGCCGGCGAAGCGGAAAGCTCGCTCTACTCGCCGGTTCTTTATCTGCCATCTATCAATTTCGCGCTTGAACCGAATGCGCGACAGATAGGCGCGGGCCGTGCGATAACAACCGTTTAATAATTCGGCGGCCTTCTGTCTCCATTTACGCGACTTATTTACGAAATTAGAACGACGTGAAGGGGCGGAGTACAACGGGATCGATCAAGAGGTTAACGCTGCGCCTTCAGGTCGATCGTTTCCTCTTCCTCCCTCTCTCTTTCCGTCCATTGTCTCTTCGCACCCCCTCGGGCTTACTCGACTCCTTCTCGACCGCCAATTTCAACGGCAGGAAGCCACTCTCCTCCGAAACTCGGTCGTCGCGATCCACCTTGTTTTCCGAATCGTCGGAACGTCTCTCCAAAACGTCTCACGCTCATCCGAGGAACTCATCAGACACTGTAAACAATGAGCCTTGGTACAGGTTTCTGGTGAAACCGCAGCACAACGCAGTCGTGCCTCTCTGGCCGGCGAATCCCGCCGCCTGCGTGCGAGCGAATCTCTCTCCCCGTCCCTCCGTGGAGACGAGATCGCATAATAACCTCGTCGTCGGCTCCAAAAATACACCCTCGGCCCGCTCTGGTCTGGTTTTTAACCTTTCGCCGAGGAAATCCCGGAGGGTTTCTTTCCTCTCCTCCGCTCGAGTTAAGTAACATCGGATATCGATTACACCTGGACGTGTCTTAGACACTTCCGACTGGCGGGAAGTGACGCTTCTCCATTACGAACAGCGCGAAAATATCAGCGCTTCGCGCCCCACTCGGTCTCAGAAGGGAGATTTCGGCGCACGCGGCAACGACTTCTCGGCCAGAAGAGCTTCTTCACGGACGGCAAGTCTCGCTCACGAGGGTGCAACAATTTCCAGTTAACCTTCTGCCACGTTGTTCGCCGTGTCCTTCTACAATCGTGTCGTACACGACTCGCGACACCGGCGCGTGTCCACCCTACCGGTCTATCTTGGCGATTACCGCGACTCCAAAGTGGCGTCCCGCATGCGTCCGTGACGCTCCTCATGTTTTATTCAACGGCACCCTCACAGTCAACGTGTCCCCACGAGTGCGCGTTAGCGAGACTCGTGCGTGAAGTGTAACGGGGGTAACGACGGGCTAACGTTTAACGCGGAGGAGCGCGCGACGTCGCCGAGCTATAAAATTCTCCAAGCTGCAAACGGGGTGGAAAAGGGCGGCGGAGGGAGAAAGAGAGAAAGAGAAATGGCAGGAGAGAGAAAGAGAGAGAGAGAGACGGACTCTCAAGAGCGCGGCACCGCGGCCCGAGGAACGAAGCCAACGAACGAAAAGCACGTCGGGGATGTGAGCGCACGCACATCCTGAGCGAACGCACAATGGAAACGACATTCGCGACTGTTCGGGCGCATTTCAGCTCTCGCGACGTCCAAAAAAAAGACGAACGAACCGAATGCGACTATCGCGACAGACGTTCGCAGCGCTCGCCTGCGTTTGCGGTGCGCGCCCGACTTTGCGCGAAACGACCGCGAATGGTGGACGGACAATGGCTGCGGCCGGTGGAAGAAGCAGCCGAATTTGCGAACTCACTGCTCTCTCTCTCTCTCTCTCTCTCTCTCTCTCTCTCTCTCTCTCTCTCTCTCTCTCTCTCTCTCTCTCTCTCTCTCTCTCTCCGACTATTGTGAGCAACTTTCTGCTGAGCGACATTCGGCTTATGGTTCACGCTCTTCCGATAGCGAGCGTATTAAAAGCGCGCTACTAAAAATGGCGCTAAAACGACGTTCAACGAAAACTCTTACAACAGTTGGCAGCGCAGCGCGGCGCAAATTGCTCACTGAGAGTTGCTCTTTCGGCTGAACGCAGACAATGTCAGCGAGCGCGAAGAAGAGAAAGAGAAAGAGAGTAGTAGCAGCAGCGGCGGCGGTGGCGGCGGCGGCGGCAGCAACAGCAACAGCAAGCATTCGGACAGAAAGAGAAGAGGGCGGCAAGGCGGAGAAAGAAAACGAGTTCACATCGTGACGCGCCGCGCCGGTGGAGTTGGATTTCACGCAGTTGGTAGTGGTGAGACGACGGTGGTGGGTCGTGTGCTCGTTGATGCAAGTGGGGAGAAGAGGCAGAGGGGCTGGTGCGGGGGGACGGAAAGCTGGTGGTGGATGTCGGGGTGGATTTGTCATACAACCCTACCTACCCTACCCCGGGTACGTTGGATCAGGGCACCGCCGCCAGACGGCGGCACCGTTTCTGTCCAAGGAAGAGGGTTCCTCTGCCGTATGGAGCAGCGAGAACCGGAGGAAACGGACGCGGCATGGACAAAACGTCGGAGGATAGGAGTAGCGCCCGCGATGCCGATTCCTTCGACGGGAAGCAAGCTACGGAGCAGGGGAGCGGAGTCGGAGAAAGGGGAAAGAGTCGGAGAAAGAAAAAGGGAGTGAGAGAGGGAGAGAGAGAGAGAGAGAGAGAGAGAGAGTGAAAGAGAGAAAAAGAGACGGTGGCGGCTCTGGTGGAGGAAGATCGATGTGGAGGAAAAACCGGATCTCCCAGCGTTGAGCCCATCGCGAGGGATGTGACGGAACGCGGAGGCCCTCCACGGCGGCGAAAGAGGGACAGAAAGGGGGAGAGAGAGGGAAAGACTTCGCCATGTTTGACCGCCGTGAGAGTCTTTAGATAGAGAATCCTATATAAGTGTGTAGCATCTAGAGTATATACTTATATATATATATATATAAAACACTATTTGGCACTCTCTCTCTCTTTGGCAGATGTGTAGCTGCTAGAGTATTTGTATAGATCTCTCGCTGTAAAAACCACACACCAGCTGTGTATGATTTTCAATAAATCTCATCGATCGGGCAATCTCCGATTGCTTCTTTTTCTCTTTCTCTTTTTCACTCTCACACTCTCTCTTTCTCTTTCTCTCTTTCTCCCGCTGTGGGACGCTTCACACGACGTTCCGATTAGATCCCGTCGCGAGAGAATTCACCGCTCGACGCAGCCCGCCAAAGTCGCGACGCCGAATCGATCGGTGGGAAAACTCGCTTGGACGTAGACTGATTAGTTTTCCCAACATCCGAATGGTAGATTCGTGTTGGCGAACGAGCGTACGTTCCGCCGACGGAGATTTGCATGCTTTGCACGTTGCGGATCGGATCAGCATTATAGATTGTGTATATACGTTACATAAATATATATCTATATGTGTGTGTCGAACACTGCTGTGTCATGTAAGCAACGCACCTCCCCTCCGTATATGTATCGTTTCGTTTCTCGCACTTGCTCGTTACTCGCATACAGATGTATGTCTCCGAGTGCCGAGTCCGGAGACCGACTCGTCTCGCGCGGACGGGGGAAGCGAAAGCATGGAAATGGAAAATCGCCGAACGCGGTGCTGAGGAAGCCGAGTTTTCGAGGCGTGAAACAAATTCAGGCGCAATTACATCAGTTCAAACGCATTTATCTACCTCTCCTCTCTCTCTCTCTCTCTCTCTCTCTCTCTCTCTCTGCCGTAACAGCCGCGCGTAGCTGGTCGCGTCGCGCAGCTTCTCCAGCACCCTTGAGAAAAAAAAGAAAAAACGAACCGGTCTTTAGAGTACGAGAGCGCGCGGCGAGGAGCGGTACGTGGAGGGTCGCTGCGCTGGCGCGTCTCAATTTATTTTAATTTCGACGATATTAGTTTTAATTAAGGCGCCCAATTAACGCGGGACACGTCGCCGGCGCGCGACGACCACGCGAGAGAGGCGAGAGAGACGAAGATAACCTGGCTCGGCTTTAAAAGCTCCGAGAGAAGTCGCGTCTGAGTGGTAGCGGGGCGGGGGGGAAAGGGGCTTGAAAATACCAATCGCACGTCGCGTATTGTTCAGGAAAAAGAGAGAGAGAGAGAGAGAGAGAGAGAGACAGAGGGAGAGGAAAAGGGAACACGTACGTGCGTAACATATCGCGCTGGCCAATTTTGCGCCTTACGAACATCAATGAACGCGTCACATCGCGAAACGACGAGATTCTTTGCGAGAGAGTGAAAGAGCGCGTTCGACCTTACGATTTCGTCGGCCGGGGAGAGTCTGACTCGCGCCGCGAGCAGCGACTATTCTGGATATAGAATCCCGCCTAAAGATAGCAGCTCGTCCCAACTATCTTCCGTCCTCTTGGATCCGCTTCGACGTGAGAGCTCACGTGCGGCTGAGTCGTTCCGACTTTTCTCCCTTTCTTCCGCGAGCGCGAATTATATCATTGTTATCGAATCATTCCCGGCGAAAGTTCTCCGCGTGCTTCGCTCGGGCGACGACCGCCGCCGGCCTCTCATCCTCCTTATACTCCTCTAACGCAATTCAAAGGTACTCTTGAACTCGTGTTCGAGTTTTCGTATCCCGCTCCCTCTGTCTCTCTCTCTCTCTCTCTCTCTCTCTGTCTCACCCCCAGCTCCGTCTATCTCCGTCAGCCGCCTTTCACCCGGGCATCCCTCTTCGAGTTTTCCCTCTTTCGTCCATGTATCCAGCACTCACGTTATTGGATCAATACGCGGGGTTCCAATTAATCCGCAGGGGGTATCCCTCGACAGATGGCTAACGGAAAACACTATAGCCTACCATACCGACCCTCCCAAAAGTATACGCGCCGCCAACCTTCCGCCGTCTTATACATTATCCAGCGCACAATAAGCTGAAATTTCCTTCCGCCTCGGGAGAATAATCGCTCGAGCCTCGACGCCTCGGACGTGTACATTGTCACTCGCGCGATCCTCGCGACAGCGTGCCGACGGCAAGAACCGCCCCCCGTGGAAAATCTCAAATCCGCGATCCACGAAAATCGCGCGGACCGCGGAAGCGTCAGCGAGACTACCCCCGTCGCGAGAGCTTTTCGTCACCGCGCGAGCGAGCGCGAATCGCGGGTCCGCCTCTGCCCTTTTTTCCAACGAGATTGGCAGCAGTCTTCTGCCGGCGCGGCGCGGCGGAACGACGGCGTCATTAAGCGAAAGATCGATCAAAGACGACTCTCCCGCACGTCGGCGTCGGCGGTCCCCGCAGTACATCTATTCACCCTCCTTCCAGCGCGCTTCCTATCTAGGTCAGCCTTATGGCCGGCCACCCTAACATTCTCCTACGTTTTTTCTTCCAACCGAATCCACACATCGCGGAGATTAAGCACCCGCCCCCTCCCGCTCCGCCGCTCAGCGCTCGTACGGCTGCGAGACCTTTTTAACGTGCGCACAATGAACCCCGCTGATCCGCCGAGTCCGCCTTGAGACGCGGTATGGATTCTCCTTTTTGCGTCTCGCATTTTCATATTTCTGTTTTGCTCCGTATTATGCGCCCGGAGAGTTCTCTCTTCTCTCTCGACGCCGCGGCCGGTTCATCGGAGATTCTCGCCTCGCCTCGCCTTGCCGAGCTTCAGCTCTCGGCGAGACAGCGCTCGCGTGGATCTTTACTCGGCTCGGCCCAGTCTGTAAACGAACAACGGCGGAAAGGGCGAGTCACCCCCCCCCTCCGATCGACGCACGGCCGACCTACATTCAGCGCGAGTTCGCGCGCGACCTCCCCGAGGATCGGCGCGGACATCACGTGTCGCCGCGTAGTTAAACGCACACACGATCGCGCTCCTCCTGCCGGCGCGGTCTCTCCTCGGAATAGCGCTTATTCCCTGACGAACTTTGACATTTGTTCCTTCTCTCCGCGAGGATCGTCGCGCGGTGATCCCGTCCTGTCGCGGCGACAAATGAACGGGCGAGTCGAGCGAGTCGAGCGGAGAAGTCGCGGAAAATTATTCTACGTCAAACACAATGCGTGAATTGCGCATTATGCGCGACACTGACACTGATTATTAACGCTCGTTATTATCTCGCGCAATCGGCACAATTTTTAAATAAACGAATCGCTTGATTTGCATGATTATTCGCGGGATATGCCGCGCGCGGTCGGGGAAACTCAGCGGGCGTTTTCCGATTTTGACTCCGACACATTGGCTTCAAATAATTCTTTCCCTCCATATAAATATATATCACCAAATAATAATTTTGGCTCGAAATAATTTTTCGAATAATCCACACGCTTGTCACGCCTATGCGCGCGCTCGCAACACGCTTTTCTTCCGCTTCGCTTTTCGATCGGTTGCCACGATCGCAGGATTCAGCGTGAGCACGAAGCGAGCTCGGTCCTGCTCGGTCGCGAAAGATGCGCAAAAATGAATGCGATTAACCGCGACTTGCCGAGCACGAGATATCTCGTGATTCGCTCGCTGCGCATTGTGTTAATACGACCGCGCTGTGTCCTCCTCTCTTGCCTCGGCCCCCTTCCCTCCTTGCTTACGCGGGCGTGGCACTGTTTGCATTTAATTAATCATCTCGGCCCGCTACAATACCGCGTAATTCTATCGATCCACCGGCTGTCTCGAAATCATTTATTATTCGGCATTATATAGCCCGGTGCTTCGCGACACGCCGGACGTTCCACGACCGCCGCTCCCCCCCCTCCCTCAGACGACGGCAGATTCAGCTCGTCGTCGGCCGTTATTATTTATCACGACTTGATTCCGTACGTCCCGAAGGATACGGGAGAATCTGTCGAAACGTCACGACACACAGGTGACAGCTGTGTGAAGCGACATCCGGCACATCGCTCGCGCTGCCACGTGACTTTGGCAGCTGTCAAGTTCTCCCGACGATGCGCGACGGCTGATCTGATCTAAAGGCTGACGAACGAACGGTCGCTATTCTTTCGATGACTTTATTAACTTCCTATTAACATCACACAAAAGGGACGAAAGGGCATTGCTGTGGCGTCATATTTATAACCCCGCGCGACAATCGCGTCGGCAGCGTGCGACCTGATTGGATATTCCACAGCCGGAAATTAATTCGTACAATATTGTCGCCGCGCACCGATAAGCAGCTCGCAACTCGCGCGCGCATGCGCGGCCCTGATTGATGCCCTGATTATGCAGCCGGATTAATTGTGCAGTGTGCGATCGGCAAACGCGCCGATCATTCCGCGGATAAAGGCCGAGAGCGGATCCCCACGGAGGGGGTGAGATCCTCGTCTTCGAGCTTCGGGAGAAAGAAACGTTCGCGGGTTGCGAATTTATCCGTCGCGGGTAAGGCGCGCGCGCGCGGCCGGCGACGTATGGTATCTGCAACGTTCTACCTTGCCGACGTTTCCGCGTTTCCGTTTCCGGCGTACCAACCGAGCGACGCCCACGCTCGAAAGAAGCGTGGGATGACGTGCGATCGAACGATATACAGCTTCGCTCCCGTTTGCTTCGGCGAAGGCATTTTTTCTTCCTTGTGCGCTTGCGACGCGTTTCTTCTTCCCGAGGACGGCGACGCTTTGTCGCTTTGTCGGCGGCCGCGCGCGAGTCGGCGGATTTTCCGCACACGGGAGCGTGCTTGCTTCTCATTCATTTCGCGACACAAAATGGGTGGGTCAGCAAACGGAATTTCAAAATATTCGAATGCCGAATTCATTTGGAAATTCTCGCGCGCGCGCGCGCGATGCCGAGGAAGACGGACACGCCCGTTCGCTGGGAATCGTCGTATACCGCCATGGAGATTCGCTCGAACGCCTCAACGGATATCCATAAACATACACGAGCGATGGATTAATTCGACGGGTTATCCCAAGTAGTTTCCGTCAAAGGGAAATACCGCTGTGCGGGGAAACCGCC